GCCCCCGGCCCCGGGAGTTCGCCGGAGTCTAACCTCTGTGCCCTCCAGCTGTGCCACACAGGCGGGGTCGGAGGCGGCGCCCCCAAACCGGGAAGCTGCTCGCGCCGGCCCCACCGGCTGCGGAAAAGGTTTCCACCTGCTCCCCTCAGCGACTCACCGCTGAGGGGCCGACTCCCCCTCTGGCTCGGGCTGCTCTGATTTGAGGGTGAGTCTGGAATCTCGCCCTAGCCCAGCCCCTATCTCTGTCCCCTTAACCCAGGGCTCTCGCCTGTGGGACTTGGTGCTGGGGACCCACACCCACCTAATGGCCTCCTCTGGCTGCACAGACCGCCCAGGGCTGGAGATTCAAGAACCTGGACCACAGCTGCTCCCATCAAATCCTTCTGGTGCCGGGACCAGCAGAAGACAACGCTGGAGGACTGAGGCCAGAGGCCGAGGCCCCACTGTGCCCCCCAACTGTCTGACCCAACTGCTGCTGAGTAGCCTCCCAGCTCTGGCTCTGCTGGGGAGATGCAGCCAGGCCTGCGGAATGCTGCTCTGGCATGGACACCAGTGGGGGCAGGGGGCTGGCTGTGCTGGCAGGAGGCTGCAAAGGAAATGCCAGGCTGAGCAGGCAACAGGGTGGGGGACCTGGGGGTGCAGGACTTGGCAGACCCAACTGGCAACTGGGCTACCACTGTGGGGAGGGGGTCTCTGTGGACCTCTCATGTGGTCCATGCCATTCCGATGCCGTTGTGTCCCCACCCCCACTCCTCGCCAAGCTGACTACTGCCCCATTTTTGGTGACTTACATGGCCTTCAGCCTGGCAGCACCACAGAGTACCCTCTGGCCCTCCCCACCTGTGTGCACTTATGCTTGCATCAGCCCATGCCCATCCCCTGCAAATGCCACCTTATGAGTGAGCAGGTACTCCGAGGACTGCTCCAAGTGACTCAGTTCTGGGTGCCAGGGAGGGAAACAGGGCAGAGGCCAAGATCACAGCCACATCATATAGTCCCATGGGACTATAATGATGCAGTGACTTACCCTGAGGTCAGGATGGAGAGGCCCCCAAGACAAGAGCCAGCTGGGAGTGACCCGAGAACGCCAAGAGGAAAGGGAGGATTACACAATGCCAGATGAAGGGTGAGGAGGGACCCTGCTGGAAAAAGAGATGGCAGCAGAAAGGAGGCACAGATAAGGCCACCAGGGACATAGAGGTGGCCACTGTAAATATCCTGCCCTGAGTGGCCATAGGGAATGCAGAGATAGCTGACTCAGTTCTCAGGGTGGGGTGGGGGTGGGGCTCAGGCTTGAGCCTCCATGCCTGCCCAGTCTGCCACCTCAAAAACCTCATCCTCCTACCCAGCCCTCTTCCTCCTCTGACATGGTGGTCAGGCAGGTGGCCAGGGAGGGATTGTGTACCTGCTGGCCCAGACCAGGATAAATCACACTGCCAAGTACCAGCATAGGAACCAGGGGTGGGTGGGGCCTGGCTGAGAGAACTGCACAGAACACTTCTGGGTCCACTTCCCAGCCAAGGCATAGCATAGTTAGTGTGAGCAGTGTGAGCAAGTTTGGGGGTATGGGAGTCATACCGAAGAAGTGGGCTGGAGATTGGGTGAGACAGAGGGGTCAGCAATGCCTAGTCTCTCTGAAGAGCCCAGCTTGCTTCTCTCAGAGCGCATCCACTGGGGGACGCCAGGGCTTAGCTCTGCAAGCTTGGCCTGCGGATCTCACGAGACTCCCGGGGAAGGAGCTATTCAAAGAACTCAGTCTGGTGGGTTTAAATGGGACTGCACAGAGCTAGAGCATGTAAACTAACATTAACTAGTGCGGAGAGGAAGGTACTCCAGGTAGAAAAGAGCACCCGAGGCACGGGTGACAGCTCAGCCTCTGGAACTGGAAGCCACTTGATGTGGCATCAAGCTGTGTAGCTGCTGTAGCAGAGCCCGTGTAAGGAGGCAACAGAGTGGTCAGTGCCAGAAAATGGGAGCCAGCAAGACAGCATGGGGTCAGTGGGGTGGCAGGAGAGTTCCGACTACCCACTAGATGCTGCCCGATGCGGCTGGGTAGAGGAGCTTAGACCTCTGGGCGTGGGGCTGGAGGGGTGTCACTTCTGACTCCTTCCTCCAGGGAGCTTGGCACACTAACAGCCACAGCTGCAGGGGCAGAGCTGGGGGGAGGGTGGTTAATGCGAACCAGCAGGTTGCCCAGATCACCCCCACCCCCTACCCCCAGCTCCCCACCCCATAGACGTCATGGCCTTGGCATTTGAGGCCTCCCCGGCAGCTTCCAGGATCCTCTCCCACCCTGTTGGTTCAGGGGACTGGGCCTCATTAGTGATTGAGCTGGGCCCTCCACATGAAGCCTCCAGGACTCCTCCTCTCCTCCTGGAGGCAAGCCCAGGGGCCAGCGCCCCAGCCACTTTGATGTATGCTGGGCTCTAAGTATTTCTTCTAAACCAGTTCTAGGAGAATTCCTAGTATCCCACTTTTTCAGATGAACTTTAAATTATAAAGAATTTATCTAGCTACTCCACTTAGGAGCAGCAGGGCAGAATTTGAACCTGGGTGGTTTGGCTCTGACCCCAAATCTTTCAGAGGTCTTTCCTTTAAGACCAAAATGGGAGGCACTGAACTCAAGTGGGGACCCTTCTGGGCCTTTTTCTTGAGATTCTAGTTGCAGGAAGCTGTGGGTGTTCTGGGGCTGAATGCCAATGGAAGCACTATGTTCCTTGGCCCTATGGCAAGCCAGAGCTCTGCGAGGTCCTCAAGTCTGGGCTACCATGTTAATAGCTTCTCTGGGGCTTATGTAAACACTGTGTGTCCCAGTACTGATGAACAGAAGCCCAGGGCTAGGTTTCCAGATGCAGACTACAGATGCCTCAGGTCATTCCTTTTTACAATGTGCTCGGGCCTCTAGACTGGTTGGAGAAAACCCTCCCCAGGCTAGCCTGGGTCCTGCAAGCTGTGGAACATGGCTCAGTCTGTGGAGATGGAGCTTGGCCCCACAGGAAGGAGAGAAGGTAAGGCAAGTGAGCACTACCTTTTACCAAAACTCCCCAAACCAGACCACCAAAGCCCACAGGCCCCTTTGTATGTATGCACTTGTAGCCAGCAGGCTCTTGCCTCCCACCACAACTGCACAGGCCATCCCGAGCACCCAGCTCCTCTCAGGTCACTCCTCAATCCCTTTAGAACAATGAGAACAGGACAGCCATTCTCTCAGCACTCCCCTAGCTCATTCTACCCAAGTCCTGCACAGCTCTCCCCTCTAGGCAACAGGCAGTAGATTTCCTCTTCTGGAAATCAGCAGTCTGGAGCCCATGATCTTCAACTCGTGACACATGGCTGGAAAGGCCCCTCATGTAGCCAGTTTGCACACCGGCAGGCAAGGTTTCTTGTTTTACCTCTACAGCCTCTGCTCCCTTCTGGTGGAGCCCCAGCCAGCACACAAGGTTGCCCAAGAGAGGCATTTTCTCTGGATGCCCTCAGCTATTAAGTGCCAAGCTAATTTAGAGCAACAGTCCGAACAAAGCCTTTGACACTTCTCAAATACTGATAAAGATGATCACTGTAAGAATATGCAAGATGATACTGGTGCTCCCGAAAATTAAGCCTGACAGCTATGCAGGGATTCCCATATAGCAAAATGACTTAAAATCTTCTGTAAATTTAAAGCAGTGCACCCAAATTTATTCTCAGGAGCTACCTAACTTTGGGGTCCACTATTCAATTTTGAAAGCAGGAATATCTGCAACTTAAGTCTAGATGTTGTATTCACTTAAAATAACAATTCCTTTGAGTTCTAAGGAGAAAAATGTTAATTGTACTTGCCCTATGAATTCTCATGTGGATGCTAAAGTATAACCATGAATCTTTTCTCCAGGAGTGAGTGCTATGTTCCAGCAAACACTGTTAGGGAGGACATGTGGAGGCTGTCAGTGGGTCAGCAGGTAACTGTGTTTTCCCTATGCAGCAACTCACAGGTGGGAGGGGACATATCCCTTCCTCAGCAAAGACATCTGTCTGCAGGTCACCTCAGCGAGCAGCATCAAACCCTGGAGGATCTGGAGTCTGCAGGGGAAGACGACCAAGAGCCATATGTACTCTCGGGGTAGGTGAACATCACTGCCTGAAGTTCTCTCTAGCTCCACGGCATGCTACAGCCATCCACTCAGCCAGGAGAAAGCAAGCTGCAGAAAGATGAAATCTCAAATTGGCTGGCTCAGCAAAGAGACCCAAGTGTTTTCTTTCTCATCTAGCACAGGACGATGAAACATGCACAGACTCAGCCTTAGACTAAGTATATACTTTAATTACTACAAGGGTCCCTCTTTTAAGTTTTAGGGAAGTTTAAATGTGGTGTATACAAATTAGACATTGCCAATATGTACAAAAGTGTTTCTACAGGTTTTGAACAATACCAGCTATGTTTCACTGCAGTAAACAGGACATTACAAAAACAGTGCAATAATGCATTTTCTAAGAAGCTCAATACACAACATAATTCAGTTTTATTAAAAATACCTTAAAATACAGAACAATCCCATTAAGGAA